CAGTATGATAAGAGAATTGGGAAGGATTAGAAAGGAGATCTGAGATCTAAGCAATTCTCTGTTCTCAGGAGTTTCACCCTTTTTACTTTAATAGCCAAGTTGACGTTCCTCTGCACAGAGGGAAACTCCCTCTGACCTCCTCCCCCAGAGCCTTTGACACAAGACTCACCAAACAAAGACAGAGGCTTTGGTGGAAAGCTCTTGCACCCTTCCCTCTTGGAAACTCTCCCTGTTTCCTTGAAAACAACACAAAAGGCTTGAAAGTAAAACTCAGCTCTAAGTGCCTGATGTCAGCTTTTCTGGTTGGGCTCCTTGCTTGGTAAAGCCACCCAGGACCTGGCAAACATCTCCAGGGCTTTCCACACCCAGCTCTGCTCAAACTCTGGATCACCAGCTACGGGAATGGGGTGAGGTTGGAACAGCCTGTCCACTCCACTTCTTGCTCCTGACTAGACCTTGGTCTCCAGTACCACAGCTCATGGTCTCATTCACCTCTCATTGCACCCCTGGTCATCCCCCTTACCCAGAGTTCCTCTGCCTTCAGTATCTTCAGCTGCTTCAATATTTGCTGGGGATGTTGTTCCCCATCAGGGACAAGATTTGACCCCCACCTTGCCACCTCTGCAAAACTGTTTCCGCTGGTGAGATGGAGCTTCCCCAACCCACGGCTTTGCAGAGCTGGGACGGGAAGTCCCTGCTCACCACATAAGCTTGCAGAGCTCCTGCTGCCTGACACCAGCTGCACAGTCCCTCTTGCCACACTGGATTGGAAGGCAGATTTCTGAGGTGTTAAGAGATGAGCACACACTTTCTTGACCCAGAAGATATCAGAGCTCTTTGAGCTTAACACAAATCAGTCTTAAAAATACCCAAGGCAGTGGTGAGCTGGACACCACCCAGTGACAGACAGGCTTCATCCTCAGGAGCCCCACACAGCAAAGAGCAGGAACCCCCAGCAGCCACAGCCCCTGTACCACTTCTCCAGCCCTGTCTGCCTGTTCCAAAGGGAACACAGCTTTATTTGCAGAAACACACCACAGGGAAACAAACTGCTGCCACCCCACAGCAGATGCCTGGTCCCACCTCTGCTGCCAGGATTCCCATATCTCTGAGAGGCCAAAGCCTGTACAGATGAGACACAAAATCACCACAAAGGAAGTGCCAGAGGTGTCACATCAGTGTCCCCATCAGTGCTGGCAGGAAAGTCAGTGGTCCTGCCCATGTCTCAGTGAGGTAGCATTGAACCAGGTGCCCAGCACGTGTTAGTCCAGATGTGAGCTGCAGCCTGTGGCCACGCTGACAGGGGACAGCCCTGTCCCCAGGCTGCAGCTGCTGCTTCCCCTAAGGAGCGATGCTGAGGGCAGCACCCTGCTGTAAGGCTTCCAACCTAAGCTGTCCCCCTTGCCAACTGCAGGCACAGGGACACATCTGTCTTCTGCTTTGGATTAAGGTCTGTCCAATCTGTGCTGTAAAACAGATGCAGGTCCAGGTGACCCACACTGGCCCCTCCTGCTCACACTGTGCCACCCCTGGGGCTGAAGCAACTTCCACACCTCTTAGAGATCAGCTGAAGGGCACCCAAGCTCCCTTTCTGCCCCCTTCTCCTTTCTTCTTCTGTATAGAAAGCCACAAAGCTGGGGCGGGGAGCAGCAGCAGTTTAGTTTCTGAACCCATCCTGTTTCCTGTCCTTTGCCAAAATCTCTTCTGATTCCCTACCCAGGGCCTTGGGGCTCGCCCACACCCAGCTGCCAGAGGAACGGGTGATGTTGTTTGTTTTTTTGTCACAGTGATGAATTGTTTATAGCAACTATCACTCCACAATCCACAGACGTCACTGACCTCAGCCCAAACTTCCGAAACAATGGCAGAAAAAGCACAGCTCCTTCCTCCGGGGTCAGCAACGGTGGTGTTTCAGGCCACCAAAGCAGGAGACCTTTATGCTGAGCATCACCGTGTGGTAAATTACACAACACCTTTAGGTGTCCCAGACAGGTACCTCAGAGCTGGGGCCATGCCCTGATCCAACCTTCAATGGCAGTGATGTCCCCGTGGCTGCTGGCTGGTGACCAGGCCGGATCTGGGGGCAGCCAGCCACCTCCCCAGGCTCTGCTCTCTGCCTCAAGCTGTGGGAGAAGCAGGTAGAGCACACAGCCATCACCCCTCAGCTGCTCCCCCAGAAAGCTGGGATGTGCCCTGAGCATCCTGCCCTCACTGTCTCTCCTGCTGCAGGAGCAGCACAGCCACTGGGAGGGAAGGGACCATCCCTGCCTGTCCCAAGCTCCTGACGAGGTTCAGAGCTGTGAGCATCACAGATGAGCTGTGCTGGAAGCCACGCTGCTGCCTGTCTGTGCAGCTTATACTCCAGGCCACAGAAATTTACTGTTCAATGGAGAAAAGAGTGTGTCTGCTGACAGTCCATCTCCCTGGCGCACTGGCTGCTGCTGAGCCTCACTGCTCACCGAGGGGAGTGCCTGGCTTGGGTGCGGATTTCCTATCCAAATGCAATACAGCTGTTTCTGCTTCCTCTCCAAAGACCAAAGCAAGTTTTAAAAAATCAATTTATCATATATTTTCCTTGACCAAGGCTCCTTGCAGATGTGACCTGTGCCTGAACTGCCCAACCTCACAGCATCGAGGCTGGAGCAGGCAGAGAGTGTGACTTGTACAAGCGCAGCACTCAGAGGGGACTATCCCAACAGCAAGTCCTGGGGCTGAATGCCATCTCAGTGGGAACTCCTATTGCAGGGCAAGCAGAGAAACAGGATACTCAGGCAGATTTTGTGAATCAATATCCAAGGGCTTGTCCCCAGCTTGCTTGAAGGACCCCTGTTTTTTAACACACACCTGTGCAGCACAGGGTGAGGCAGCTGCAGGGTCAGGTTTAGCTGTGGGTGCACAGACCTGGCACAGCTCAGTTCCAACATCCCTCCACACACCCAGGACAGGGGGAGATGTCCCCAGTCACCACAACTACACCTCAAATCTACAGCAGGGACCAAAGTGAATGGCAGCCCCAGGCAGCACACTGCAAACAGCAACATACTGCAAGCAGCAGCACATTGCCTCCCAGCCCAGCTGCAGCCACTGCTCATGGAAAGGGCTGGCAGCTGAAGGGCTGGATCCCCCCAGCCTCTCCCTGTACAGCACTTGTTTTTCCATACCTCTCACTGGTTTGCTCCTCATCCCTGCTGACCTAGCCCCTTGCACTTGGAATTAGCTGCTCTTGAAGTTTTAGTGCAGGGCCCTGTTGGGAAAGACCAGGAGTCTAATCCACGGTTCCCTTTCCCAGCTGGACACACTTATGCAAATCCAGAGGGTGATGAGGCTTGTGTTATTTTTAATGCTTGAGGGAAAATACTATCTCACTGGCAGCAAAAGGCTGCTGAGATTATATCACTAGTTTGCTTTGAAGCTCAGTTGGCAGAGGAAGGCCATGTCCCAGTGCCCCAGGGGTGGGCTGGTTGCCAGCGGTGGTGCAGAGCAGGACCATGTCTCGATGGCCAGGAGCCATGGGTGCTGGCACCCCTGGGAGGCTGCTGGCAAGGGCAGTGGTGGGAGCAAGGGGGCAGGGGTCCCTACAAGCCTGGTGACAGCTGAACAGCAATATCCAGGGTTTGCCTTTGACACGGATGCCTGTGTTTGTTGCACTAACGGGGTGGGAGGCGAGGCAGCGCCAGCTGTTCCGAGTTCATCCCATTGAAACATGTCTAGTGGGTGCTGAGCCTTGTGGAGTCAAGCAAGTTTTAATTGGAAGTTTTAAGATGCTTATCAGATCAGGCTGCTTTTGACACCAAAGATTTTGACATTGGACATGTACCTCTGACCCCTGAGGGCTTTGGCCAAGTCCTAGAATAGCTGCTGTGACAGTAAAATGCAGAGCAGTCTCTAAGGAAATGCCTGCATAAACTGTAGACAAAAATATCCCAATGAGTGATGAGGTATCTCTGAATATGTAAATGGGGTGGTTCAGGTTAAGAAACCATTTTAGAAACATCTCTCAAGTTGACATCTTTGACATATTTCAGTGCTGTTCTTCCAGTGGCGCAGACACTGAAACACGAAAGAGCAAAGCTCCTGTGGGCCAGCTCTTGCTTTGTAACACCACACCACCGCTTTCCCTGCAGAGGGAGGCCGGCTCTGCCTCGGCAGGAACCTCCCAGCTCACTTGGCCTTTTTGCATGGCTGCTCAGAGTGAAAGCAGCAAATTACCATGTTCATATTTCAGTGCTGTTCTTCCAGTGGCGCAGACACTGAAACACGAAAGAGCAAAGCTCCTGTGGGCCAGCTCTTGCTTTGTAACACCACACCACCGCTTTCCCTGCAGAGGGAGGCCGGCTCTGCCTCGGCAGGAACCTCCCAGCTCACTTGGCCTTTTTGCATGGCTGCTCAGAGTGAAAGCAGCAAATTACCATGTTTTCTTGATGTGACAGTCCAGTCAGCCCCAACTGAGGGCTGCAGTGCTATCTCAGATCCAGAAGTAGAGCTGGGGGCTGCCTACATACATGACCTTCCAGCAGGCACTGCCTGAGGCTGGGACATGGCCAGGAGTCTGTAGAGTGCCACAAAGACCTCAGGTCATCAGTCTCAACCCCTCGTCCAGAAGCACTGCATGGCTCTACTATAACCCCATGACAGCCACAGGCAACAAGACGTGGCTCACAGTGGGAACCACCACACTCTAAACTTCTGCAAACATCTCTAGACAGACCCAGTGAGGCTGTAGGTCGGGTAGGACCTTCCTCCTGAAACCACAGAGACTTCAGACAAGCACCAGCACAACATCCACCACCCTTTCCCTTGGGGCATGCTCACCCTCCAGGGCTCAGGCAGCCCCTGGGATGGGCAGCCAAGGGCAGGATCCCATGCATGGCAGGAGCAGAAGCACATGAAACCATCACAGAGTGTGGGGCTCAATCCAAAGGCCACAGAGGTCCTTAAGTAAGTGGCAAGCACTTCACAACCAAGTCCCTCAGGACCCCTGTTACAGAGAGCACAGCTGCTACATGCGGTAAGCATCTTTTGGTTTATTAAAGACTGAGAATACAACTTTGGGCCCAGCCACGAGAGCTGGGTGCCAGAAGCAGAGCCAAGTTTTGGCTGGAAGGGTGTGGTCTCCTCTCCAGGTGGCCTTCAGCAATACTGGCCAAACTTCCTATCTGGCAGGACATCCCAACACCCTCACCCCAGCAGCACTCCATGGGGAACAAAGCCCCTCTTCACACCAGCCCCAGCCTTGGTTACTTATTGCTTTGAACGTGCTAGTCTAGTATAGAGTGAATTAAGAACAAAAATGCATGTCTGTTGCGGTGTGTTTGTGTTGTCTTCGGGCTGTGCTGGGAACCTTGGCCGTCAGACCTGAAGAGGGATGGAAGAGAGGAGCAGATGAGGTCAGGCTGGGCTGGGAGCACAGACATCTCAGGGACAACAGTGCTCTGGGACAGACTCTGACTTTGCCAACAGGCCACAAAGCAAAAGCCTTTGGTGCCTGCTGCAGGAGCTAAGCAGGAGCTGACAGTCAGTTGGGGTTGGTGGTGAGGAGCAGCTGGCACCCAGCAGGTTGCTCCCGAACACTGGTGCAAGGCCTGGGAGTCACAGCCAGCCCAGAAAGATGCTGTGGCACGCCTGCCTTCCCTGCCTGCCTGAGGGAGGACAGCCCCAGGCAGCCCACAGAGCTGGAGGCTGGAGGGGAGCTCCAAGGGAAGGACCAACCTGAGGTTTACTTGAACGTGTGGCTCTCAGCTCCTCCCCGGCCAAACCCTGGAAGAGATAGAGCAGGGTCAGCATCACTGCAGGATGGCAAGCACACTGAGGCTTCACCTCACCAAGACAATCCTGAGCCCCCTTCCCTTCCTTCCTCCTTGCCTCTCTCCCTCCCTCCTTCCCACAACGCCAGCCACAGCCACCCTACCTTTGGGCCCGAACAAGGCAGCATAGCAGGGGTGGTTGCAGTATGGCTTGCCATCATGCTGCAGGGAGAGAGAAAGAGCATCAGCCCTGACCACCCTTCAGCTCCATCTCTGCCCATCCCAGCCCTTGGCTGCAGGAGACAAGGACCTCCTGGGCAGCAAACCTCACCTCTGCATGGCCTCCAGATGTCAGGGTCTTGTTACACTTCTCACATCTCAAGCAGGGCCGGTGCCAGTCTTTCCCCAGAGAAGTCACCTTCTCGGCTGCCATGGAAAGGAGATGGGTTAGTTGAGGCACTGAACAGGCACAAGTCAGTTTTGGCACGTTGGCCTCCCTGTCATCAACCCTATGGAGGACATTTTTTGGCATTTTCTCAAGTCTCTCTGTCCAGGACAGAGGGAACTGTGTTTCAAACCCAAGTGCTCACTGTACACACACATTGCTGTGCAGATCCAGGCGCACGGATCCAAAACAGCAGTGCCACGCCCAGGGTGAACACTGCTGCATCCACGAGGACAGACTGACTTCTGTGCATCTTCCAAAGATCTGAGGATCTCCCTCCTTTCAGCATCAGCCTGCAAGGGGATTCATTTCTCCCCAGGAAGCTGGAGCCCAAGTGATCACTACAGTTGGCAGGGGCAAAGGGGGATGCTGATGAGGACCAGGAAGGCAAAGCCATCGCTTGTGCCCTGCCAGCATCCTGGAGGGACAACATGCTGGAGCCAGAACATGTTTATAGAGAGAGGGGGGAACACAGGGTGGCTTTTAATTGCAGCACAGCGGGGGAGGAGGGCATTTTCTGCAGACACATGTGCTCTTCATATTGGCAGCTGTAGGAATTTATTAAGTGATTAACCAGAGATGTCCACAGGAACCACATCAGAGCCAGGTCTGAGCACTCTCTCCACGCCTGCAAAAGGAAGCTGAGGAGTGGAACTGAGCCACTGTGGGCAGCACGTGCCCCAGGGTGCCCTCCGCAGCCTGAAGCACCTCTTTTTTGGAGTCCAAATATGCCCAGAATAGCTTGTGTAAGGAGCAAGCTGGCAGCTGCAGAGGTGGGAGCGGGGGCAGTTCCCAAATGTCACAAGGCAGCCCTGCTGCCATTCCCCAGTGGCACAAAAGGCCTTCTGTACCCACAGCCTGGCAGGGGCCACAGCATCCTCCCATCTGGACACCCCCAGGAGCCCAAGCCTGGCCCACAGCAAGGCTCTCCAGTCACAGGGTTTATGGAAGGAGCTTAGTCTCCTCACCTCTCACACACACTTTTGCACCAACACTTGGGCAGAAGCTCAGCTAAGGCTCACTGCAACAGGGCTCCTCTAGCATTCAGCCATGAAGGCAAGATTCCTCCAAACCCCATCCCTAGTCTTCTCAGCATCATCTCCTTTTCACCACTGCTCTCTACGGACACAATTTGGCCCAAAGCAGCCTGAGGCACACCCAAGCAGGTCTGCCAGGCTCCAAAGAGCTCCAGGGTGCCCTGGAACAAGGCTTGCTCTGCCTCCTCTGCTATTGCTCCAGATTATCTGCAGACACAGATATCAGGCGTCAAGCTTTGTCTTCCAGCAACTTTTGAACCCTACTCAGCCTCTGCATCAACAAAGACATTTCATAACAGTGCAAGGTCAAACTCCTCCTTGGTCAAACGGTCCCGTCCCAGCACCTCCGCAGCCACACCTGCAGGCACGGCAAAGCCAGCTCACTCTGAGTGGGATGGATACAAATCCACAAGGAAAAACAAACACTGACACCAGCACCTTGATAGCTCCTGGTATCAAGCCACATGGGTAAATAAGGTGCAGGAGGTAGATACGAACTGTATTGTGTCGAAACTCCATCTCAAATCCTGTCTGCAAGTGTTGAGTTCAAGATTAGGCAAAGTGATGTTCCTCAACTGCAGGAACCACATCCCCAGCAGCTCTGCAGGCAGCACCCGTGCCAGCCCTAGTGCACCTCCCCAGAGTTAGCATCACTAACGGACACAGGTGTTTGGCCAGGAGAGCAGGCCCTGTGTTTGAATCTCCAACTCTTTAGCAGAGCACAGGTAGTTGGGGCACATGCACAAGCAGAGCAGAAATAAAGCAGAGAGAGAAGTCAGTGATGACATTTGGGTCTCCGATTCCTCATCTCTAGTAAATTAAAAAGCAGAGAGTGCATGGAAGCTGTTTCCAGCAAACCCCCTCAAGTTCAGCTATATCAGCGAAGTGGGGAGGTCTGGCAGCTAGAGCCTGTTCCAGCAACTGCTGGCAGAGTCAGAAGCTCAAACCCCCCAGATACCTTCAGGCAGGACAGCAGGACCATGGCACCAGAAGGGGCAGGAGTTTTGGGGCCCCAGTTTGGAGGGAGGACATCTGCGGGAAGCCCAGCAGCAGACAGCAGCCCAACAACCAGCTCACAACTAGCCTGCAACAGCGGCTTAAAAATAACACCCCAGAGGTGTCATCCTGCTCTGCTAACCCACACAACCACACGTGGGCAACCCTCTGACCCAGGAACTTGCCCGAGGGCACGATTTGCCCTTGGGAAGGTACTTGCTCACCTGCCTGGGCTTTCAGAGCAGCAGGCTGCACCAGCTTTGGGCTCCAAAACCCGCACAGCACTTCGGGCTGTGCTGGGACAGAATCGGGGCTGAGCTCCCACGCTGAGCTCCCATCCAGCACAGCCTGCACTCTGCATCCAGGCACCTCCTTGGGTGGATCTATAGGGTCACCCACGCGGGGCACCCCCAGCGCTGGGGTGTGCAACTCTGGGGCACCCCAAGAATTTGCAGAGATGAGACGCACAACACTAAGACGCACAACACTGGGGCACCCAGAACCCACAGCCCTGCGGTCCCCGCGGGGTGAGGACAGCCGGGGAGAGGATGGGAAGCCCTTACCGAAGTAGACCTCCTTCTGGCAGCGAGGACACTTAGGCATGGTCTCGGCTCGTCTGGGCTCGGGGAGCTGCTCGCACCGGCTATGGGATGCTCCGCGCCCGTCCCGCCG